CATGTGCAGCGCCTGGGTTGTTCAGTCTGCGCGCGGTCTTCCTATTTTCCTGCCAGGGCCCGAGAGGGCGCCGAGTCCTCTGGGGCACAGCCCAGCGCGACATTCCGTCGGGCTGCTTCGGCGTCTGGAGCTGCTTGGAAACTTCCAGCAGCAGCCTGGGCTGCTCGGTGGGGGCCGTGGTCCGCGCAGACGTCGACTCGCTCGTGCCCGCTGGAGGCGCGACCGCCCGGGGCGCGGTCGCCTCCGGGGCGGCCTGCTGCTGCTCGGCGCCCGCTTGGGGGGCGAGGGCCTCAGGGCCAAGGGCGGCCCGGCCCTCCGCGCCGAGCGGGGGCGCCCCGACCATCTGCTGAAGGGTGCGGCTGATGGGGGGGCCACTCTGGGCCGCGAAGCCCGGGTCGCGGCTGCCGGAGCGGCCTCCGGGCCATGGCGCAGCGGGGGAAGCCCCGCCATCTCGCGCCCGCGCTCCCGTCGCGCCCGCTCGCCGGCGGCGGCTGCGTGGCAGGGGGCCACCCCGCTAGGGCCGCGTGCTCTCCTCCCGGTGGGGGCCGCCGACGACTCGAGGCCCGTCGCGCGTTCCAGCATGGGCGCGCGCAGGTTCGCTATGCGCCTGAGCGGCGGCGGACCCCCGCTCGACGCCGCGCGTGCGAGCGCTGGCGCCATTTGAGCGCCATCCTCCGCTGGCAGGCCCGTCGCCGGGTCCGCTGGCGGTTGAAAGGCGCGGTGTCAGCGAGGTGCAGACGTCCGCGGGAAGTGCCGGCGCCATGGAGTCGCCCGAGGCGATCGGCGCGAGAGGGGTGAGCATCTCGCGAAGCAGGAGCTCGAGGCGAGCGTGCTCCTCCGTGGGGAACGCCGCGAACAACTCCTGGTCGCCCTCGCCGCCATGTCCTCGTCGACCGTCGGCTTCCCCGCGCGCGGCCGCCGCGGCCGCGGCGCCGCGGCCCGCCGTCGCAAGAAGCGCGCGGGGATCTCGCAGACTCCGCGCGCGTCCCGGCGCTGATCCCGACAGCAGGCGGCGCAGTTTAGCGCCTCCTTTAGCGTGGGGGGGCCATGCGGGGCAGCGCCGTGGCCGGCGCGCGCCCCCCCGACCTCTTGCACCGCGAGCTCGGTCCCAGCTACCGAGGACGGCGAGCCGCCGCGCCGAGCGAGAAGCGCGTAGTAGCGCTTCCCGCTGAGAGATGCCGGGGGCGGGAAACCTCCGGCTGGGCGCGGGGTGGGTCTCTCGGGAGCCGCTGCGCCTCGCCCGCGGTCCGCGGGCCGCTGCGCCCCTCGCTGGGGCGCTTCCGCGGCTTGGGGGGCCTCTTCGCGCCGCGGCCGCGCGCGCCCTGGCCTTGCCGGCACGGTCCGACGCTGCGCTGCGCGGAGGCGAGGCGGGGGAAGCCGGCCCGGGCTCGGGCGCGGGCTCCTTGCCAGAACGCGCGCTGGCAGCGCTCGCGGGCGCTTGGCCCCCGGGGGGGTGCCCGCATGAATGTGCACGAGGTGGGGGGGGCGGCCGCCGCGGACGCCCAATCGCCGGAGGTGCTCCGCACGGAGTGGCCCCGCAACCTAGAAAAGTGGACGGGGCGCGCGCCCCCTGGGCCGAGACATTGCAGAGCGGTGCGCGCGGGAGGATGAGAATGCACCCATGCATCTATGTAGCGATACCGAGCGAGTCATAACTGTGGATCTACACAGGCGCAGAAAGCGTTCACGCTTACTTATATGTGTACTAGAACCACGCGCGCGCTTCGCGCGCGCTTAGGTTCTGTCGAGTCACAGACCCAGGAATCGTTGCGAGAAGAAATTGGTGACGCGAAGCGTCTTGGGGGCGTCCTTGGACGTCTGGGGTCTCCTGGGGCCTCTTGAGGGGCCTCTTGAGGGGCCTCCTGGGGGCCTCCTGGCGGCCTTTTGGGGCGGAAGGCTCGAGCTTGCGGTTCGTGGTCCCCCTCTGGGCCCCCTCTTGGGCCCGTCTTGGGGCCCTCTTGGGCCATCTTGGGCGCCTCTTGGGCCGTCTTGGGGCCCTCTTGGGCTGTCCTGGGGCCCTCTTGGAAGCTTCTTGGGCCGTCTTGGGGCGGTCTTGGGCGCCTCTTGGGCCGTCCTGTAACGTCGGAAAACCAAAAAGACAACTTTGTTGAAAATGTACGCTTTACGAAGGGAATGGGCAAATTTTTGCGTCTAGGGGCCCTCTTGGGACGCATGTTGGAGGCTTCTTGGGGCCTCTTGGGGGCGTCCTTGGACGTCTGGGGTCTCCTGGGGCCTCTTGAGGGGCCTACTGGGGGCCTCCTGGCGGCCTCTTGGGGCGGAAGGCTCGAGCTTGCGGTTCGTGGTCCCCCTCTGGGCCCCCTCTTGGGCCCGTCTTGGGGCCCTCTTGGGCCATCTTGGGCGCCTCTTGGCCGTCTTGGGGCCCTCTTGGCTGTCCTGGGGCCCTCTTGGAAGCTTCTTGGGCCGTCTTGGGGCGGTCTTGGGCGCCTCTTGGGCCGTCCTGTAACGTCGGAAAGCCCAAAATGCGACTTTGTTAAAAATGTACGTTTTACGAAGGGAATGGGCCAATTCTTGCGTCTAGGGGCCCTCTTGGGACACATGTTGGAGGCTTCTTGGAGCCTCTTGGGGGCGTCCTTGGACGTCTGGGGTCTCCCGGGGCCTCTTGAGGGGCCTCCTGGGGGCCTCCTGGCGGCCTCTTGGGGCGGAAGGCTCGAGCTTACGGTTCGTGGTCCCCCTCTGGGCCCCCTCTTGGGCCCGTCTTGGGGCCCTCTTGGGCCATCTTGGGCGCCTCTTGGGCCGTCTTGGGGCCCTCTTGGGCTGTCCTGGGGCCCTCTTGGAAGCTTCTTGGGCCGTATTGGGGCGGTCTTGGGCGCCTCTTGGGCCGTCCTGTAACGTCGGAAAGCCAAAAAGACAACTTTGTTGAAAATGTACGTTTTACGAAGGGAATGGGCCAATTTTTGCGTCTAGGGGCCCTCTTGGGACGCATGTTGGAGGCTTCTTGGGGCCTCTTGGGGGCGTCCTTGGACGTCTGGAGGCCATCTTCAGCATCTCGGAGCCCTCTTGGAGGCCTCTTGGAAGTTTCTTGTGCCGTCTTGGGCGCTTCTTGGGCCGTCTTGCCTGACTGGGGAGGCCTCCGGCAAGCCCCGACGAGCCTCCGGGCCCCCCGGGGTGCACATTTGCGGTCGAGGTCCCGGCCCCGGGCCCCCGGACCCGGTGCGCCGATATATGTATATATGTATAAAAATATGTCTATATGTAGATATAGACATCTGTAGTGTGTGTGTGTGTATGTGTGTGTGCGCGTGTGTGTGTGTGTGTGTGTGTGTGTGTGTGTGTGTCTGTGTCTGTGTCTGTGTGTGGTGTGTGTGGTGTGTGTGGTGTGTGTGGTGTGTGTGTGGTGTGTGTGGTGTGTGTGGTGTGTGTGGTGTGTGTGGTGTGTGTGTGTGTGGTGTGTGTGGTGTGTGTGGTGTGTGTGGTGTGTGTGGTGTGTGTGTGGTGTGTGTGTGTGTGTGTGTGTGTGTCGGACGCGCGCCTCCAAGGAGGACATCTAGCACCAATATACCCCCCCCCCTCTGCGCGAGACCGCTGCCCCCCCCGTCGGAGGCCCCGCTCCGCGCGGGCCCGCTCGAAAGCGCGCCCGCCCGGCTTCCGCGGGGGCGCCCCCGGCGTGTCCTGGGGTCCAGCAGCCGGCCCAGCGCCTGCCGCCCCTCCTGCGGGTGGCGGCGTCTGCTCCCTGCTCCTCTCTCGTCTCCTCCTCCTCCTCCTCCTATCCTCCTTACTTCCATCCTCCTCCTCCTCCTCCTCTCTCCTCCTCCCTAGTCTTCCTAGTCTCCTAGTCTCCTCCTCTCACTCCTCTCTCCTCCTCCTCATCCTCCTCTTCCTCCTCTCCCTCCTCCTACGCCTCCTCCTCCTCCTCCCCCGCCTCCGCCTCCTCCTCCTCCGCCTCCGCCTCCGCCTCCTCCTCCTCCTCCTCCTCCTCCTCCGGGTTTCTTGATAAGCGTTGGGGGGGGACCCCCCCGACGGGGGTCAACCTCGCCTCGTCGTCTCGCCGCGACGGGGGTCGGAGCGCCTTCGGCGCGCGGTGTGGCTGCCCGCGACGGGGGTCGATGTGGGGCCGTCGGCGGGGGTGACGCCCCCCCGACGCTTATCCAGAAACTCGAGGTCCCCCCGCCAGGTTTGGGTCGGGCATGTGCTCCTACCGGCGGGTTTTGGAACAAAAACAGAAGATGGCCAACACGTACTCAAACAAATCATTCGAAGTAGTCGAATGATCGCCCCCAGACTAGTCTTTGACTATTCTCAAATGTTCCTCCTGTAGAGGGACATGCCCGACTTAACGCCAGGTTCGGGGAGGACGGCAGGGTAAGGGATCAGCTCACGTAGCTGGTCATCCTGGCGCCTCCTGGCGCCGGGAGGCGCCCATGCATCGAGGAATGGGCCTGGCAGCGGGGCCGAAACCAGCTGCATGCAGCAAGTTTCGTGACCACCCCTTTCCTTATCCTGCCCTCTCGTCCGGCCCGACAGGTGGGGGTAGGGTTCGGACGTCTCCATTGATTGAAGAACGAAAGCGGCAGAAGGACAACGTCTCGGAGGTCCGCGCGGATCTCTTGGATCGGCGCTGGGACCCCCCTTCCTTGGCTCGCTGAGCACGCCATGGGCGGCGCCGGAGGCGCTGCCGATCCAAGAGATCCGCGCTGACGTCCGAGAAGTCATGTTTATTCGGTGTTGTTCGTTCTTCGATAGGTGGCGACATCCGAACCCCACCCCCGCCAACCACCGATTCTCCTGAGTGGATGGGCCTTCAAGATCCTGGCGTTGCACTGTTTTTACAGAGGACGTTTTCGCCCGCTCTCTGGCCCCGGGATCCTCACACATCGATCGGTCTCGAGCAGTGGCGCAGAAAGATGGGGTCAGGGCCCCGGTGGTGATACATATATATATATATATATATAAATGTCTGATGTTGCGATGTTGCGAGTTCGTCCCAACAATGGATCTGAATCCACGGGCAGGGTTCAGATTTCGGTGATTGACTCCGAATCCTACCCCCGCAGCCCACCGAGTTGCCTGAATCGTGAATCGGCGAGGGCAGGGTTCAGATTTCGCCGAGGATCCTGCTCCGAGACCCTGAGGCGGAAGTCCCGCATCTGGAAGATCCGGAACGTGGCCGCGTCCAGCACCTCTCGCGCGCGGGCGCGCAAAAAGAGGCCAGGACGAGAGCAACACCGGGCCAGGATCCCACCGGCCTGCCGGTTCTGGAGCACAGTACGGGGCCCGACCACAAGAAGCCTTCCACCGGGGGCCTCTGGGGACCTCCAGGCACCACCGCAGGCCGAGAGGAGGTAGCTTTTCACTTGCCCCGTGGTTGAGAATGGCGGGGCATGAGAGAAGGAGAGAGAGAGAGAGAGAGACCGGGAGAAAGGGAGGGAAGGCAGCGAGGCCCCGCACACAGGCGGTATGGTTATGGTGCAGACCTTCAGCGTGCAGTATTTGCGGAAAATGTACTTCTGCCAGCACCTGAGCGGACAATTCTCGTCGAGAACGAAGCAGTGTGCCAGGAAGACCAGGAGCATAACAACGTGCGCCGTCTCGTCCGCAGTCATCCGATCGCCCAGCGTAACCAGGACGCCTTTGAAGTCCGCCATCGTGCAGTTGGCACTGAGTGGAGCGTCCTCAGGTCATCCACGATCAACATGGAATATTGTCCCAAGGGCCCCAGAACCCCGATTGCTTGAACTGCTGGGCCCCCAAAAGGCCTCCGGGGGGCTCACAAGACCCAAGAGACCCCCAAGAGGCAGGCCTCCAACAGGCTTCCAGGAGGCCCCCCCCAGAGACCCCTCTCCCGAGAGACCTCTCGTCCACGACGCAGGCACGGCGGCGGCAGGGGCCGGAGGCCACTAAATCCGCTGCCCCCTGTCGATTCATCGCAGGGGTGCCCGGCGTGCTAGTTTATTCCAGTTTGGGTGTTGGTACTTTTTCCATGGCCTCCAAGATGGTCCAAGATGGCCTCCAAGTCCGCCCAAGATGGTCCAAGATGGCCTCCCATTCGGCACAATAGAGTCCAAGACGGCCGAAGATGGCCCAAGAGGCCCCAGAGGCCTCCAAGACGGCCCAAGAGGCCTTCAAGAGGTCCTCCAGGAGGGCCCGAAAGAGGCCAAAATCATTGATTTTCCTTCTGGCTTCAAAGGTTTTCGTATTTGCTCCTTTTCGGCTTTCCGACGACCCAAGACGGCCCAAGAGGCCCCCAAGATCGCCCCCAGAGCGCCCAAGAGGCCTCCAAGACGGCCCAAGAGGCCTCCAAGAGGTCCTCCAGGAGGGCCCGAAGAGGCCAAAATCATTGATTTTCCTTATGGCTTTCAAGGTTCTTGGTATTTGCTCCTTTTCGGCTTTCCGACCAAGACGGCCCACGAGGCACCCAAGATTGCTCCCACAGCGCCCTAGAGGCTTCTAAGATAGCCTCAGGACTGCCCAAGAGGCCCGCAAGACGGCCCCAAGGGGGCACAAAGACGACCCAAGAGGCCTCCTCTAAGACGGCCCTGGAGCACCCCAAGAGGGCCCCAAGTCGGCCCAAAAAGGCCTCCCAAACAGCCTCCGACGGGCGAGGAGCCCACCAAGATGGCCGAAGTTGGCTCGCAGCTGGCCCAAGACGGCCCAAGAGGCCTCCAAGAGGGCCTCCAGGCAGGCCAGAAAATGCCGAAAACACTCATGTTCCCTAAGTGCTCGAAAGATTTTGACCTTTGCTTCGTTTCGGCCTTCCGACGGCTCGATACGGCCCAAGAGCCCCCAAAGATCGCCCAAGGATCGCCGAAGAGGCCTCCAAGATGGCCCCAGAACGGCCCAAGAGGTCCCCAAGACGGCCCCAAGAGGCCCTCAAGACGGCCCAGGAGGCTTTTAAGACGCCCAAGATGGCCTCCAAGACGGCCCTGGAGCATTCCAAGAGGGCCCCAAGTCGGCTCCAAACGGCTTCCGACGGCGTCGGACGGGCCAAGGGCCCACCAAGACGGCCGAAGATGGCACTAAGATGGCCCGAGACGGCCCAAGAGGCCTCCAAGAGAGCCTCCAGGAAGGCCCGAATTAGCCAAAATCATTGATTTCCCATGGGTTGTTGCTTTCTGTCGGCCTTCCGACGGCCCGAGACGGCCCAAATGCCCCCAAATATCGCCCAAGAGGCCCAAGACGGCCCCAAGAGGCCCCCAAGACGGCCGAAGAGGCCTCCAAGGCGCTCAAGATGGCCTCCAAGACGGCCCAAGAGCCCTCCAAGACTTCCTCCAAGAAGGCCCGAAAGGGTCAAAATGGCCTCCAGGCGGCCAAGATGACCTTCAAGATGCCCACTTGTTCCCCGAAGGCTTTCCAAACAGATTCGGGGAACACATGGTCCGATAGCTTGGCAGGTCTGGCCTCAACGTTCGGCCACATAGGCGCTTCCACAAAGGCAGGCGGCGGCGGTGATTCGCCGTAGGCGTCTTCGTTCTGCCGCCCCCTGTCGATTCATCGCAGGGGTGCCTGGCGTGCTAATCCCTCTCGGTTTTTGTTTTCGTCCTTTTCCAAAAGAACTCCCCCTGGGGCTTCGACCCGTCCCGCCGGGGTCCCAGGAGGATTGCTACGGAGCAGGATTTCCCCAATGTTTCCTCCAAGACGGCTGAAGATGGCCTCCAAGATGGCCACGTTGGCCCACGATGGCCTCCAAGATGGTCCAAGATGGCCTCCAAGTCAGCCCAAGAGAGGAGATGCCTCCAAGTCTACCCAAGAAACTTCCATGACGGCCTAAGACGGCCCAAGAGGTGCCCAAGAGGCCTCCAAGACGGCCCAAGAGGCTTCCAAGAGGTCCTCCAGGAGGGCCCGAAGAGCCCAAAATCTTTCCGTATGGCTTTGAAGGTTCTTCGTATTTGCTCCTTCACGGCTTTCCGACGACCCAAGACGGCCCAAGAGGCCCCCAAGATCGCCCACAGAGCGCCCAAGAGGCCTCCAATATGGGCTCAGGACTGGCCAAGAGGCCCCCAAGACGGCTCCAAGGGGGCACAAAGACGACCCAGGAGGCCTCCAAGACGCCCAAGATGGCCTCAAAGACGGCCCTGGAGCACCCCAAGAGGGCTCCAAGTCGGCCCAAAGAGGCCCGCCAAAAGGCTTCCGACTGCGTCAGACGGGCCAGGAGCCCACCAAGATGGCCGAAATTGGCTCGAAGCTGGCCCAAGACGGCCCAAGAGGCCTCCAAGAGGGTCTCCAGGAAGGCCAGGAAAGGCCACAAACAATCATTTCCCATAGATTTTTGAAGGATTTTGACATTTGCGTCTTTTCGGCCTTCCGACGGCCCGATACGGCCCAAGAGCCCCCAAAGATCGCCCAAGGATCGCCGAAGAGGCCTCCAAGATGGCCCAAGAGGCCCCCAAGACGGCCCCAAGGGGCCCTCAAGACGGCCCAGGAGGCTTTTGAGACGCCCAAGATGGCCTCCAAGACGGCCCTGGAGCACTCCAAGAGGACCCACAGTCGACCCAGAGTGGCTCCCCAAACGACTTCCGACGGCGTCGGCCGGGCCAGGAGCCCACCAAAACGGCCGAAGATGGCCCGAAGATGGCCCAAGACGGCCCACGAGGCTCCCCAGAGGGCCTCCAGGAAGGCCCGAATAGGCCAAAATCATTAATTTCCAATAAGTTTTTCAAGGATTGTGGCATCTGCTGTTTTTCGGCCTTCCGACGGTCCGAGACGGCCCAAGTGCCCCCAAAGATCGCCCAAGAGGCCCCAGACAGCCCTAAGAGGCCCTCAAGACGGCCCAAGAGGCCTCCAAGACGCCCAAGACTCCTCCTCCTCCTCATCTCATCTCCTCCTCCTTATGTTCGCCCTCCTTCTCCTCCTCCTTCTTCATTCTCCTCCTCCTCTTCCCCTCCTGATCTTCCCCGCCATCTTCCCAGAAATATTCCCCGAAGGGTTTCCGCAACGATTGGGGGAACACATGGTCCGACCGCTTGGCAAGCTCGTGCCACAACGCTCGGACACATGAGCGCTTTCAAACCTCTTGCTCCCCCACTCGAAGAACAACTGGCCCGCTAGCTTGGCCAGGCTCTAGCCCAGCTGTCAGCCACATAGGCGCTTCCACAAGGGCAGGGGGCGGCGGTGATTCGCCGCAGGCGTCTTCGATCCGCTGCCCCCCTGTGGTCTGTCAACAGTGGGTGGCTGCTGGCGTGCCAGACTCTGACTGTGTCAGGCCTGTCCCGAGGCTTCCTGGTTTACCAGCCTGGAACATATCCCTATCCCTATGTTGGGCATCGCCTCATCACGATGGCGATCTCAGGGATTTCCTCAGTTCCTGAGGGTGCATCCCTGAGACTGCCATCTCCTTGTAGCGTGTCAATCTTAGGGATAGGGATAAGTTCGAGGCTGGTGACTGGTGGGGTCTCGGCCGATCCAGACGGAACCGGGAGAGGTGTCGCGCGGAGAGGCCCGTGAGGGCCACGCGCACGCGGAGTCCAGCAGCTGAGCTGGGCCAGGCCTCGGCCCAGCGTCTGGCCACCGTGGGCGCGTCCAGAAGGCAGGGGGCGGCGGTGGCTCGCCACAGGCGTCTTCGCTAGACGCTGGCATGGGCCAGCACGACGACGACGTCGCTGTAGTCGTACCCGCACAGGTGCATCAGCCGGACGCCCTGCAGCACCATCCGGCACAGCGGCTCGCCCCGCAGACCTTCGCGCGATGGCGCGGAAGGGGCGGCCTCGGACAGCAGCCCCACGAAGCGCCAAACGAGCACGAAGTCGTCCGGGAACTCGGCGTACTTCGACGTCTCCGAGCTGAACCTCACGACCTGCCTCACCTGCATGGGGCAACAGAAACCTGAGATCCGAGCGTTGCATTTGTTTCACACCAAACGCGTTCGCCGAGTTGTGGGCCCCAAGGCCCTCACCGATCGACCCGGCTCGAGAAACGCCGCAGAGCAGACAAATTGGGTCTTGAGCTCCCGTCGTGCTCTCTCACGGTGTTGCAATTCGGAGGACAATGCGGGAACAAAGGAGGAGGAGGAAGAGTAGGAGGAGGAGGAGGAGGAGGAGGAGGAGGAGAAGAGGAGGGATGAGGAGGAGGAGGAGGACGGGGGAGAAGAAGGAGGAGGAGGAGGAGGAGGAGAAG